TTACGTTTGTATTTCGACCGAAGTATTTATGAATATATCAGCCTATTTTATGATCAGAGGACCAATGTTGTGAAGACTGTAATAAGAATAGGATATAAAGCAATATGTAAGAGTATTAACGATAACATCATTAGCTTCTGTGTTCTATGTATGTTGATGTCATGGGTACTCTTAATCCACCAATTTATTTGTCCACAGAAAACGAGATAAAAATTGACTTTAGTACAAAGTAGAGCAAACAAAGCCACAAAATATCATCCACATGAAAATATGTGATTGTGAAATATATTTTTGTTTATTGACAACATGCTGTAAAAGTTGTGATAAGGAACAGATTCTATTTTTCTTTATTTTCAAATCAAATTCTTAAAATTGATAAATTGAAAAGAAGATAAATTAAGAGAATTATAGTCCATTTCTAGACTGCTTTGAAAAACTCTCCATTTTACTCAAGTTTTGGCAACACTGAAAATTTTAAATGTCTAAAACAACATTAACAGCATGTTTGTATACGAGTAATGATCCATGATTTATCCGTATATTCCTTCAGTGTACCTAGAGATCTAGGTTTTTGAGGATATGTTAACATGCCAATTGTCTCCATATAATGTAATAATCTACTCAGTGTACACCTCATTATTTTTCATACGTTTGTAAAAGTGGCTTTGGATGCTTTCAAAGGCCCATTGACATGCCAAAATGGCAAGTGATTTAACTGAATATTATATCTAATATACTGATCTTTACTAATCCCAGTCTATCTATAGCCTTAGTAGGGGAACAGAATAAGGAAAATTCCTGCTCTCATTTCTAAGTGTCACCTAATGCCAACTTGAGATCCTTCTCAATGTTCCCTTAGACAAATTAAGTAATTTTGGAATTTTGGAAAGTCGGTAGTGAAAACTTGGAGAAGTAAAATAATTCACTGATGTATAGATATACATATTGAATTAAGAATAAGGATTTTCCAAAGAAAGACATAATTTATTGACAAACAACAGCATTGCATCAAGATAGACATTGAATACCTCATGGTTGGCGTTTTACGTGATTTTTTTTTTGTAACTCCTATGTTAAATCCCTGCTGAAACTTCGACATTGTCTTAACCCTATATAAAGTATATACAAATTATCATTTTAATGAGTATGATATATATGTACATGTTGTAAATTTATGTACATTTTTACCAGAATGTAGATTACGGTGTAGTCTACCGTATTAGTGTATAGTGCTTCTGTATTGCCAGCATGGTAGTATATATATATACCTAGTATATCAAATATATATAAACCTGTAGTCCAGAATGTAGATCTACTAGAATGCAATATATTTACCAATTATGCTCATTTTCACTGGCTGGTTCTCTATGTGATGTCACACATTTTTGTTAACTCATATTTTTTCACAAACAAATCTTATCTGTCGATGTCGACACAATTTAGTCATGTCATTTTATATGATGCTTGTTTTATTACTTTATTTCAGTGGAATGTTTGAGCTTGTTTTGAGGATTTGTCTGAGAATTGTGATTGGATGTGAGTGAGACATGGTGATCAGAGTGAAAAGGCATGAAATTGTGACGTAATTCAATCAGACTTTGATTCCAGGACATTCCTGATACTTTTTCTGGACAATTTAAGAAAAAAATCCTGATACTTTTTCTAAGCAATATAAGATAAGATAATGTCTTCTGATGACAGAAGTTTGGATGAAGAGTGATGTTAGAAAATACTATTCCTGACAAAGGCTCTGATAGATACTTAATATATTGTGATAGTCAAGTTTGGTATAGGTCAAAAGTGTTATTGTCTAGGAATGTTTTAAAATGATGACTAAATACACAAATGATATAACCATTGTCAAATTGATGTTGAGATGTTGTATTCACAATATTGATCATTACAATATGGAGTGTGCTCTTTATCAGATCATGACATTCAAAGGTAAATTAAAAAAGAATTTTTGAAATTTAGTCATAAAGTTTTGATATGTACAATCTCCCCCTCCCCGCCTCCCCCCATTTTAATCAGTAATTGTTTGGTACCCACAATAGGAAGCTCAATAGAACATATTAACACATGGGCTGTAAAGTAAACAAAAGCAAAATATTGATCAAAAGCACAATCTGTAGGTATACTTGTACTTTGAAAAATCTTCATTCAGTAATTAGCACTGGGTCTGGAATCCTAGCCTGGGTGATATTCTTCATTCAGTAATTAGCACTGGGTCTGGAATCCTAGCCTGGGTGATATTCTTCATTCAGTAATTAGCACTGGGTCTGGAATCCTAGCCTGAGTGATATTCTTCATTCAGTAGTTAGCACTGGGTCTCGAATCCTAGCCTGAGTGATATTCTTCATTCAGTAGTTAGCACTGGGTCTCGAATCCTAGCCTGGGTGATATTCTTCATTCAGTAATTAGCACTGGGTCTGGAATCCTAGCCTGAGTGATTTAGTGATTTGTGATTGTGATATGATGAGAAGTAATGTTATAAAGAAATCTTTATGTATGAAATGGTTTGTTGATATGTATGAAGAGAGGTGAGTGTAGAAATGTGATATTATATAAGTTTCCGTGTGAAACAGTGAGAGACACCTTCGCTGTCCCGTCAGCATTTTGATATTCTATTCATTAATAAGTACTTAATGTATGAATGTTGCCTATTTAAATCAGTGTATTTTACCCTGTAACTCTGGTGATTGTGGTAATGTTGGACGTTGATCAGTTCTACAGCTTGTTTTACTGCTATCCCTATCTGTAGCCGTGTCCTACCTTTACATTGTGAACGCTTTCCATGTGATCGTATTTCTTCTTGTGATATCCTCTAGCCTTTCCCTTGAATCATCTGTCATATGAGATAATCATGATTATAGCCATCTGTTTAATGAAAAAAGATACCAGTTCTACAGATAAAAGATATTGCATTGTATTGTTCATATATACATATACTCATCTGAACGTAATCCTGGAGAGATGAGGTGTGATACACACAGTGTCAACAATATGTCAGATTTTGTAATGTGAATGTAAACACGTAGATGGTTCATCAAACAGATAGAAGTTGTCTTACTCACACCAGGTTAGTGAACAAGTTACTAGAAAAACTATGAATGTGAGCTAAAGTCTTGCTTGACTATGAAAACTATGAATTTGAGCTAAAGTCTCGCTTGACTATGAAAACTATGAATTTGAGCTAAGGTCTTGCTAGACTATGAAAACTATGAATTTGAGCTTAAGTCTTGCTTGACTATGAAAACTGTTAATTTGAGCTGAAGTCTCGCTTGACTATGAAAACTGTTAATTTGAGCTAAAGTCTTGCTTGACTATGCTGATTTAGCTCATTTCGATGTTGGTAAGGGGTGTTACATATGTTCACTGAAGGGTCGGTAATTGTAAATAAAAAACTTTTGAAGTAGACGCTGTATTTGTAACCAACGTTGAACAGGTCAAAATGTTTATCGACTCTTTGTAGTAGACACTGGTCTGTAACCAATGTTGAACCTAACACTACCTGCTGGCAGTGTAAGGCTCTGTCTTGGCAGGCAGTCTGTGCATTTCATTGTCAATATGCATTACCTGGTTGGTGGCCGAGTTTGTCTTCTATTATTGGTTGCCAGATAAGAATTTGTGTGGTTGACGACTCTGAGTGTGTTCACCTCTGGCTTCCTGTGTTGGTGGCCATCTCCGAATAAGTTCACGAACGTTGATCGGTAGCACGGACTGTGTTTCCATCACAGCGTAGTTTTGGCTTACTGCGCTCTTATGATGCTGAAGGGCACCTGTTTTCTCTCTTTATTACATTAATGGGGTAGTGCCAAACAGGGAGATAACTATTTGTATTTATTTCATAACATTTATATTAATGCCCTTTATTAAACTCCGAATTTGCAATGCAAATGGTACAGTTTGAATGTAAAGATAATAAAAGTCATTCTGCTATATTTCTACGTCTTTGTTCTATTTATACATACGTCTATTTACTCTGGTATGTGAATGAAAATCAGTGACTTTCTTGAATGGTAAGTCCAGCTTCATCAAATGCCACCAATGGCATTGGTGAGGACTAATGATTGGTTTTAGAAGGAATTCAAGGTGTAGCAACAATAGTGCCTCTAACCATCTTCTCTATTGCAAATGTTTTCGGTGGGAAAATTACCTTTTCAAATTATGTGAAAAACTAATTAACTTGGTATGTCACTAATGTAGGCATCTATTTAGATAGTCTTGCCGTCTTTGATCTACCAAATCTATCACTTAAAGGGGATAGAGTAGAGAAACAAAGAAAATGTCAACCAAAAGAAAGATTTACGTGGAGACCCCTGAAAGGTACAAAGGTAATGAGACCAGGTGTTCAGGAAGGGCAAGGGTTTTGAGCTTCATCGACGACAACTGAACGTTTGAAGTCTCTGACATACATTACTTCATCGCGGTGAAATTATTCCACTCAAATCAACAAAAACTTGAAAGGAAACCGGTTAAGTTGTAACTTTCAAAGTAATGAACAAAACTAAGGTTGAGTTAAGAAAGTCATTGATAGCCATATCGTAACTAAGGAAGACCAGATATCTTAAGAATTCATTAAATATGCGGTTGAAATGAAGAACAAAATGACAGTATTTGTTGATCGTATTTTAATGGAACATAAATAATACCTCTTGCAGATAATCACCTAACTGCAAATTTACATACATCAGCATGTGCTTCCCTCAATGGAATTCGAAAACACGATGCTTCGTGGTAAACTGTTCAGTACCATATCTCCTTTCTAATCATGTTAAAGGTGTTTAATGGGCTCTCCATGGAATGGGACATACATTTGGCTATGGACAGGAAACAGTCGCCAACAAATTACAATGCAGTGCCTTGTCCTCTCCAGCTACGCCCTCAACTGATAAACGTCCCGAATGCTATAGTAGATTGATATTGGCTCAGAAAAAAATCATCATAATCGAACGTGTACAGATCTATGCCAATTTGGTAGATCAATATCGTTTCACCAACTAATGAAAGGAACCATTTCGTGGCCTCGATTTCACTTCAGTTTTTTCTTTGTTTTTTTCTTTCAATGACCCATGTCTCGCCCTCGGTTTAGTGTCTGTCGACGATTCCTCCAGTGAGGTGGTTGATGGCGACCCTACTTTCATCTCTGGCATTGACCGTTTTTTCTTCAGTAATCGTTTCCTCGTCTGTGGCCCTGCACTCTGATCGGGATTTCCTTCAGCCAGATCAATGGTAGGATAGACGTTTTCAGTTCTCCCTATTTTACGCATCCTTGAGTTTCCGCTCTCCGATAAAGATTTCCCGCAGCTGTTTACATCATTCTCCTTTCCTTCTGCATCAATGACGTCATTCGTCTCCATAGCTTTCATTTCGCTCTCTGGTTTGCTCGATTTCCTGAAAGATGATTTCTTTCCTGATCTAATAAGAGTACTTTTGTTGTCTGAAGGAGTACTTTTAAGTTCATCTTTTACGTTTGAAGTGTCTTTGTTTACACTTGACTTCCGTTCACGTTCAGGCGATGTAGTAACAGTTCCGTCTTGTGCGCCGGTATTTCTGTAACCCTCATCATAGCTTGTTTTCGATGAGGTAGCGATCTTTTCGCGTTCTTTCTTAGAGGGCATTGTCAATGACATGTCTTTGTGTAAATCATCCGCACTGCATTTTCTTGCAAAAACGGACAATCTCGACAAACTTTCTGCATTGGACTGTACCCACACATCACTCATGGCTCGCTGAAGTAACTTTCGGTGATTGATGTCAGAGGATGTTTTCCGAGGTCTACGAACGGATGATATAAACTCAGGATCACCTGCCCAAATGTCTGCTAAGTCCGGTTGATCAGAAGTGCTCGAAAGTTTTCTAGTTCTTCCAGTGGCCGGTGATATGGCCGTTACAGAAGAGCGACCGTGCTGAACCTGTTTGGCACATCCTGGTGGTGGAATATCTTCAAATTCGAGTGATTTCCTCCGACCACACCGATGTCGTAGTATTTCCGTTTCTGTTCCATGTATACATTGAAAAATGAAAAAGCATCAGAATTAAAACCTGACAAACTCAATCAGGACAGATTTTACAGAAAGGAACACTCTTACATTGACGTATTAATCCAGCATCTCCTTCATCAGAAGACCACGGACAAAGTCGGTATACAAGATACAATTTGAAGACTAATTAAGATACTGAAGATTTGTTTTCAAGTTTTGTTTGTTTTGGCCTAGTCCTTTGTATTTATGCAAAGGCTATTGCGGATAAATGAGGTAAAACCTTTACTTTTAAACGAAAATAACACTTATGACCATCATTTCTTGTTCTAAGACAAAATTAAATCATTATATTGGAATATGAAATGATCTATCAATACTTTTCCATTAGGACAGATAATCGTTTGACATACTCTTCCAACAAATTCGATTACAATATCGTCAATAGTGACATGGAATTTTTGCTCCTAGTTTCGATTTGAATGGTTTGATGTAAACCTGGCAGTTAACTTACCACCATTGTTTTTCTTGATAGTGGTTCCCTGTTTCACAGGCGTCTGTCCATATTTGGGTATGATTGTGATTGGGTAGGGGTTAACAAAAACCTCCTCTTCTTCTTGGTCATCACCCTCCTTCTCCAGGTCACCTTTCACTGAAAAATCAACACATCGATAGTATGTTTACACTTATTGATGGTAAGCCCTCTTAATTATGTGTGAGGATCTTTATATTTGTGATCTGCTCAAATTGAATCTGTTTTGAATTTAAAGCTCATTTTTATATCGTGTTGTGGCCGTATTGAAACAAAAATGATTTTATAGGATAAAATATGCAATTACAAGTATATTTATTCTGTTCAAAGTAGTGAAAGATGACAACGATAATAAACTTTTATGATGCATTTGTGTCTGTATTGATGATGACATCCGATTTTTGAGTCCGGACGCCATCGTATTCGTTTGATACAATAAAAATTTGTTTAAATCAAGGACAACTGGGAAAATTGCTATATTTACACACATAATTTTATAAATGATAATAAAAATACGTATGAAAGAAGAAAAATCTTCGAATATTTGCGGAATTTCAGGTGAAGTATGGTTGATGCTTATTGAAAATTGCATTTCTCAGATTAAGAATAGCCAAAAAATGAAAAAAAAAAAAAAAAAAAACCCAGCCCAAACATGAAAAAAATACCCAAAAACATGAGGAAACGGCCAAAAGCATGAGAAAACAGCCAAAAGCATGAGAAAATGAAATTTAAGTGAGGACTACATCTTGGCGAAGTCAAGGCAGTCAACACTTTTCTTTCCAAAAGGCAAAAGTTGATCTAGAACTGATATATCTAGTTGTATTTTATAAATATAGAAAAAAAAACTCTGCTTTTATTAAGTTAACAACGTAATAACACATAAATTTATTATATTGGAAATATATCAAATGATTAAGTGTATCTTGATTTCACCGTCTTCTACGAATGGATTTTGATTGTTCTCGTGAAAACTAAACTACATTTTACCCTTAAGTATCTCTCCACCTTTACTTTACCATGTATCCCCAACCCGTGGTATTTACACGTCGCAGTTGATTCGATATTCAAGGGAGATGTTCCCATTATCACAATTTTCATACAAGAAGTCATCAACTAACGGACAAATGAAAGTTATGAGGATGTATTATGGTCGCCATGGTGATCGCATTGAGAAATATTCTATTTGTTTGCGTTGTATGAAGCTGGGCGTATTTGGTGCTCGTTAGCTTGTTTATTGGTTCCTTAAATGTATATCTTGTTATCGTTTGTGGACGTGATATTACTAACTCGGATTGACTGTCGATAAAGCAGAAGATGCTTACTCTTCCGGAACACCTGGTCTTATTCTCTTTGCACTTTTCCCGGAGTCTCCGTGTAAATTTGTCGTTAGTTTTGCTCTAGTTGTATGAATTTGAGTTTGGATTATGATTATGTTGACATGTTGGTATTTTCATGGATTAGTTACCCTTTACGTCACTACAGACTACAAACCTGTTATCATCTAATTAACGATCCATCAAATAACAGGTGACCGAAAAGGCACGTACGCAATGCATTTTAATTATAATGATCGATAAAGGTAAACAGAGGTAAACATTGTTCTTGCTGGTTCTTGTTTTGTAGTTTGTTTACGAAGTAACACCGTGACATTTACAACGTTTAAAGTCGTTTGCTGAATTGTACTTCATCAATGTAAACAGTGCATTGTGGTTATATATCTACAGTTTATAAGTAAGGTATATGTTATACACCTGTAAAGGTTAAATACTTTCAACAATTCTACTATTGTCATCACGATTTCATCGATAACTTAGATATTCCATGATAAATGACATTTTGAAGTTTGACCTAGATCGTCGACAGATTGGCATACTGATCTGATTTTAAAAAATTGTAAAATAGAGAATAAAGAATATTCATATGTTATAGAAGATATTTTATTCGTTTCACTAAGGATGTTGTTATGGCTAAATCGAAGGGAGGTAATGCATTATTTTGTATAAGGATTTCTTCTTCGTTCAGAAAGACTGCTGTGGCGACATATGGCGTGTATATCTCTAGTATGTTATAGGCCGGAACGTTTATCATTGGCGGCGCCAGTAAGGCTGCCTCCATTTGATTTTGTCCTCCACAAATTTACATGACAAAATGTAGCTCTGCTGAATTTTGCGATAACAAAGTTTCTTTTGTTTTCAGTTAATGTGGTTTTTATGAAACTTGTCTTGAAGTTTTAATATTTTGCCCACCAAAGTTCGCAATAATAATAAAAAAGAACTTGGGCTCATTTCATGATATCTCACAGGAAATCGATTTATTTCATATCCAATAAGTATCCATGATTGATGGAAAGTAAATGCTTTACATTGCAGTAAAGGCCCAGGATGTTATATATATTAGTATTTAGTGTTAATAGGGGCGTGGGGATGGAGGGTGGGTTGTTAAACAGTTACTTTGCTGTTGATACATGGCAAAGTTCACGTCAAATATGCGAGATATTTTGCGTGGAATTATTACGCGGTTTTTTTGGCGTCCCATGTATATTGTGTCAGAATCTAAATAAATATTTGTGTGTAGAGCTAGGACAGTTTAGTTTGACCGTGCTTTTAGGCATGATTTGTTCTTGTAGGTATTTATGCCATTATGCGTTGACGATTAGATATTGTCCATGGTTTTTGTGTATAAATTTAGTCCGAATTGATTTTTTTACCATTGTGTTCTTATATTATTATTAAAAGAAAGCAAAGGTTGATACCTGATGTAATCAATTGATTATTTCACGAATATTTCATTGAAGACCACATCTGCGTCTTACAAAGATGATACAGATATTATCTCGTTTTGTAATGTTATAAGAGATGTCGACTTCATCTGTACATGTCAGACTGAAATGTGTATACATCGATAATGAAATGAGCTCAGCAGTCTTTTTGAAGAGATTTTCAGTAGCTGTAGGTAAAGGATTCTGTAATCAATGATCTTTAATGGTAGCATCATACACGTTGTATGTGGTGTATGTAACATCATTGACAGAGAATGAGCACCTAGAGAAAAAGGTGTCTTTATGTAGCTTAACCAGAAGATGTTGACATGCTGCAACTGTCAGGAAGTGTTAGCTACTGTCAATTTCCTTTTTGAATGTCCTCTGTAATATTTTCTTGCTTATTCATCACACAAAAGTATCCAAAGAAACAGGATTTATTAAAAGAGAGTTATATTTTCATCTACACAAGAGAGGTAAAAAGGACATACTTATAAGGTTTATCCATGAACTGCAAGCAAATGAGAAAGCGGACGAGCATACAAGCAAACAAGCCAAATTACTATAAAATATTAAATATTTATCTCAGGAAAACAAACCTCTATTCGGGAATAGTCTCACCTGCATCTAGTTGTATATAATCTACGTCATATATCTGCTGTTCCACGTGAAGTCGTTGAAGAATGTCCTTGACCTCCTGTTCATCCTTGGAGTACTGTCTCACGAATGCTTTCTTTTGGTGTTCTATCGACTTTGTCCTTTTCTCGTGAGCGACTCGCTCTAAAGAGTTCTTCTGAACAAAGTCTCGCATATTGTTGGCGTCTAGTTGTCCAGGCGCACCATGCATACTGTGCATCTCCCCAAAATCGTCTTGACAATATTCTTGTTGTCAGCAGATCCGATCTTTTTCGATTTCAATATCTGGTGCTTTCTAAGTATCGCTTATTCATCCACAATGTGACCCACTAAACCATGTTCACGACAAATAACAGGCATTTCTATCACACCTACCGGACGGAAGACTCCACTATATAAACGATTGTTATGAAATGTTAGCAAAAACAAAACAAATTGTAGGCTGTTCGTTGAAGGTGAGTTAGTATTGCCAGAGAAAGGTCGTTAAAAAACTTCTCGGTGAATGAACTTTAAAAACCTGATTAAGTGTTCAATCTGTAATCAAAATTGATGACAGAATCTGAGATGATTGACATGGATAAACAATCCCTTCCGAGTTGGGTGTAAAATAACCACCACAGCAACTTTGTGTTGGTTTACAATTACGTCCGCCGATCAGGTAAAAACATGCCATGCAAAACAGGTTTGACCTTTTCCTTGTTAAATGTCAATATGTGTCTGCTATGAAATATTTTTGAAAAACCTTTCCCTCGTTGTTGAGACTGAGAGGTAAAGTCCTGCGTTGTAGTGTGCAATAAGTAATGTACATTATTGCATTGCACAATATCATGGCACACGAAGGTACGTCATTCAGAGAATAGTGGTCATCCCATCATTATCACAAACACTTTTGATAATTTTGTTAAAACACCGCTCCTCATCTCTCTGAACTAATCTTCCTCTATGCATTATGAGCTAAAGCACACCAGCATTCCTCACTCTCCTCTTGCGACTGGTTTGGAAAAGTTCAAAGTTTTGTCGTTAAAAGTCATTTTCACGCCACTATATGATAAACACGTCCGTAAACTGTTTGTTGTTACTTAACACTAGCTGATCAAGTAGTACAATGTGTGAATTGACGAGAGTTTGGAGAGTTTACCGGAAACAATGAAAGCCTTACAGGTGTCTTATTACCTGGTTACATAGGCCTATGTACATTCTGTACTTTCCATGAAAATCCTGTCAGGCTTTAAGTTTCTCCTTAACAGAAGCGGTACAACAATAGTCCAACCTCACACGGCATCAGAGTTATTCATCCACATGAAAATAAAATCTAACTGTATTTAAATGGCCCACAGTATCACGTCAAGAATAACAAGTATGGTAAGCTTAATATAGGTAAAATTGACACATCAAAGTCTTCGATCCATTTATGAAAGAGCAAGATATGCATGTAAGTAAAGATTTCGAATAATTTTCTGATAAAAATTATTTTTCGTTTGGGCCAAGTAAGCTGCTAATATTTTACGGCAATAAATTTACGAATGAGAATTAGAAACTGGTTTATAATGGAGGTTTTATGGACAAAGTCGCCCTATCTATACATAATCAGCTGACGTTAGACCCTGAATCACGCTGGACTCTGTCGCATAAAGGCTTACTGATAACGACTAAGCACGCAAAACTCGCCATTAAAGGGAGGCAGATACACACACGATATCTACAATTTGGCATTGGGCATGACTTTGCATCTTTAAAAACAGATCCAATATGCCCATGCCTTGATAAGTTGGTTTATGACTTGTTATTGATATTAAACTATAATAATTTGTCATTCCTGACCTGTAAATGTTAACGATGTCATCATCAACTTCAAGTTTATATATTGTTTACACTGTAATGCATTATGTAGTATTTACTTAGCATGCTTCTCTCACTCGAAAGGGCAATTGAAGCATATCAACAGGAAACCGAGACCGAGTGACCGATAAAAAACAAAATAACTCGCATTCATATATGGAGTTCATACATGGTCAATTGTAAATTACGTCCAGTATAGATTAAGGAGAAGTCAGATGTTTAAAGTTTAACACCTGTGTTGTTAATTTACTACAGTGTACAAGTCCACATATGATTACCCGGATATTTAAATACGTTTAACTATAGTCCATAATTAGTCGGGATACATCGGTTTGGGGTCGGTAGGGGGTAGAGATCGTCACAATGTTATTTTATTTGGATCGGTGGGCCTACAACCATTATATGTTGATGACTATTATATTGAGGGAGGTATTGCCCTAAACACATTAATTTTCCTTGTGGTTTATTTATTTTCGAGGTTCACTCGGGTACTCTAAATCCGCTGGTTTATTTGTCCGTGAAATAATACTATACAGATAAAAGTGGACGGTGATTATGATAGCAGATTTGGAGATATCAAGTGCCACAGAAAATGTATCTTTTCGGGAAATCACGAAATTTTAGTCTTACGAAAATATATGGTTTTGCAGTAAATGAAGTTTTACACGAATTCGGAATTGTATTTGATGTTTATATATTTGTCTTGTTTTTAAGTTCGATGTGATTTTGCTCTAGTTTTTTTTTTATTTTAGAGTGGATTATATTAATATTGACATATTGGTGTTGTTAATTGATAATTAAAGAAAACCTCGAACACTGAATTTTTGCATTCTTTTCGACTAATGTGTATGTCTCTCGCATGCCTCTTAGGTTTCCTGATTGAGGCTCTTTTCATCAATAATGAACCCTGGAGGGACGAAAGACCTTATGATACAGTTTAAGTCATAACTTGGCTCTACGCTATTTGATTCTAAACTTAAAGTGAAAGCTGCTATTTTCTTTTGTTGTTTTTTTGCAATCTCTTAAATAGTTTATCATAAAAAAAATTAATCACTAAAAACGAAAGTTGAAGTATTGCATTTGCAAGATATATCTATGCCTGTTTCGCTTGGCGAGCATTGAATATTTTTTTGTAGATAACAAGAGTTTTATCTTGCATAAGAAAAGATTGTTTTTATCCAAAACATCAAAGAATGCCTCCAAAACTAGTGCTTTATCTGTGTTACAATCGTGATTATAAAAATGTAGTTTTAAAGTCTTTTGTTTTACCTGAAGATTAAATTCTGATTAACATGTACAATAATCTAACATGGTCACCTGGTTCCATTTGCAAATATATTTCACGATTTTGATTACATCTTACTAACAGCATCCATTACATCAATGACTTAGTCATATTCTTAATATCTCATAACTTTCAGTCATTTTTTATACAATACCTCACCGTCTCATTGATAATTATTCACGTTTTCTAACTAAGTACATCATATACATTTCACTTAATTAACATTTTCCAGCTTCAGGAACTTCAGAAGTCAGTGTCATGAAAAATACATAATTGATTTGGAATTCCTGTAATGAAGTACAAGGTAAACTGAGAAATTTTGAATTGAAATTATCAAATTTAGATTTTAATCCAAATGACTAATGAATATCTTATAGTTTCAGCTGTTAACGCATGAATCGGCCACTATGAATCCGTAGGTTTGAATTACAAATATCTCAGGTTTAATTACAAATACGTGCTCATAATAGTTACGGTTAAGAATATGTCACAGTTCTCAGGTTTGCAGATCTCACAGTTTCAGCTAAACTTATCTCACAGTTCCTACTAGGCTATCTCATAAAATATGTTACCTGTAACTGAGCGAGATTGGTGTATGTCAGTCGATGGCTAAGATCCTGTAACATAACCTAGCGCCTAGCTTGGGATTGTCTTACAGTATCTTAGCCTCAAACTACCCACACAGCCTCTTCACTTTTAAACAATGTTTGGATAGTGCCGCGTAAACAATGTAGGCCGCAATTAAAAAAAAAAACACAACACATTTTACAGTGAATATCTTATTTTATGTACAATATCAGGAATCAGAACTACATCAAAAAATACACAAAGCAAATGATATAAAGCAGATAGTAAATTTTAAACCGATATACATGTATATATAAAATATTCTGTGGAAAATGCACGTATGGGTACTAGAAAGATCGAGCGAGATAGAATAATCTAGGACGGGATATCCCTGTCTGAGGTGCGAGAACAAACATAAAGTAGGTTTTAGATCAAGTAGCATTATCATTAATAAAAACAAGAAATAGCACCAGAAATACTCTATATGGTTTTTATTTTGTAGAGTTACTTGTTTTGAGTTGAACTGTTAATTAAAACAAATATACCGCAGTTTGTCTATATGATTTGTACAGGTAACTGTGGTAGTAATTAAAACAAATATACCGCAGTTTGTCTATATGATTTGTACAGGTACTTGTGGTAGTGTGTTTTCACTAAAAGACGCTTGTGTGAAAATGATAGGTGAAAAAATCACGAACAATGGCATACTGTCGGCGGACAATATGGAGGTACGTGATTGCAAGAGCTATTGCACCAAAAATCCGTAGTGACCAATGATAAAGAAACACAACTCAGGGTGTCGCTAGACGGCGATGGAGGTGCACTTTGTGTGTGTTTTAGAGGTGTTGTAGGTTTTGTTTGTGCCATAGTAGTCGTTGTCAGAGCGTCTGGTCTTGCTTTTGTTGATGTAAGTAACTCTTCAGCTTTTGTTGAAAAGGTAGGCGATTCCCTTGACGTGGATAACTTCAAAATGGACGACAAAGTAGGTGTCGCTTTAGTAGAGGACATTGTTGTAGGTGTCGCTGTAGTAGAGGACATTGTTGTAAGTGTCCCTTTAGTTGAGAACATTGTTGTAGGTGTCCCCTTAGTTGAGAACAATGTTGTAACCTTTTCTTTCGCAGGGGATGTTATGCTAGGTTGCATTTTATTAACTACATCTTCATTAAAGATAGCTATATCTGCACATGCGTAGAACTCTTCTTGTGGTCCATATCCTACACCTTGTCCAGTCTCGTCATTTCCCCAAGAATTTCCTAAAATAACAAATCAAACTCTCGAAACTGGATTGTATTGTTGGCTTTCTTCGGGAATAAAATGAAACAGCAAATACAGATATCACTAAACTGATAATGAATATAAATAAAACAAATAGGTTCCAAGACGTCCGGGAAAACTACAGCTGATTGTCTAAAGTTTGGATAATCCATTAATCCATGGAAATAAACATCTACATTATCTTAAATGATTAATGCGTAAGTATATATTGGATGTATATAGTAATAATGCGTATAATTTATATATCGATTGTGAAGAAAACTTACCTGTGTGGTACCTCCACTGGATGACGCACTGAGAGCACGTTAAATTCTGTGGAAGGTCGACTGTGATGGTGATATTCCCTTTCACTGTCCCTATTGGATGTTTTGTTTCTTTCGTCTCAGAGTTTACCAGTAAATGTTTTAAACATTCATTTGTTATTGGCTTGGTCACATCATTGTTATCACAGAGTCGGAATTCGAAGTATCCGAGGTGATTCGCTGTGATCTGTATGGTTATATCCATTTGAGAGCCCTTTCTGTAGCGTCTTGATATGATGCCCTTCGCGTACTTCCCACCGGCTTCGTTTTCCCTCGGTGGTGACTGGTCATATGGGTCACCACACAAGCCACATTTGCCTCCAAGACTTTGTTGATGCTGTAAAATTACGATTTGTTAGCGAGGTATGTTATCTGATGACTATATTTGTTTGCGTCAATAACTATGATTGAGTGTGAAATGCTCAGGGTATCTCTTTCTCATTCTCGCAATTTCTATTTTATTTGATTTTCTCACACGCAGAGACTGTGAAACCACTTCCTTTCGTAAGTAGTTCACTTTCGTTCATTTCCTCTTTACTCTTCTATGTCCCCGAAGTGTTAAAATTCGAATTTAGGAAAGTTATTGAGCTGCATCTATTCACGAAACCAAGTATCCGCGAAAGGGTATAAAAATAACCCGAAAATTGAGCGCCACGGAAATATCTGATTGTACAGCACACCATTCGTACTGTCCTCGGGTAAGAAGGTAATTATTGTTTTATTGTGATAAAAAAAACCTACTTTTCTATAAAAAGGTTTATGTGTATGTCATACCAGATGGGATACTTCAAAATCCTATATTTTCGTTCGGTCCAATTTTCCTGGTTTCCAATAATTATTTCGTGGACATTTGATTTCGTGGATAAATATAACTCAATGTATGTGCTTAAACGAATAATATCAGTCCGTGGAGTACCCAGAAAATTAACGATAGTAGATCCCCTGAAAACTAATTATTTCACAGTACTGGGTTAAATAATACATATTGGACAATGTCTTCAGTCAATTTTGATAGCGATACTAAAATATTAACCTTTTTTCGTTATTAATTAATGATTAATTAATTAATCTATTTATCTATTTTGTATATTGTATTAGATTTTCTATTTGTCAGTTATCAAGATGATCCAATAATGAGTTGTTTTTCGTTGCAGTAACATCCAAATTTTCATACTGGATATTTATCGGGGAACAGGTAATACAATTGATATGTCACCGACCTCACCTAGATACGTCAGAACATGACATTTGGTAACAGATGTTTATAATGTGATTTGTATTAACATGAGCAAATAATCCTTTACAAAATATATGAAATCACAAAGTTATCTTATAATACTTGTTTTTTCAAATTTATTTTCATACTTGCTGAAATACGTATTAACTGTGTTTATCTGGACGCTGTTACCATCTATAATTTAACACAGACATTTACATGTAAGGAATACCAACACATCACGTACAAACACGCAAAAGTGTCTTTAAAATATTGTCTAAATATTGCATGAAAATCAATGTTAATATATTATATCCTTACCGAAAATCCCCCGCAGAATAATTCATTATCATTATAATTTTTCGGCGTTTGAAATCCGAACCGCCACATACTACTTCTACCGGGCGGGTTAATCAGGCGTCCGTGTGCATATGCTGCCCCAAATAGGGAAACAGTGACGAGCAAGAAAACAAATAAATTAGGACACTTCATCTTCTTAGTTTCTCCTAACACCGATCGTCTCTGGATGTAGAGATGTTTGAGACCGTACCATGCCAGTGTTTTATATACTGCGATAGGAAGCTTTGGTAGAGCGATGGATCTGACGTCATACGAAATTGATATGGCCGGTGTTAGTTAACATTATTGGATTGTCATTGTAAGCGTGATTTTTAACATATCCGTAACGTGATCAGAGAGAGAGAGACAGTCGGGTACATAGGTGTAATTATGTGTCATGATTTCCCTATTTAATCAGGAGGTTTATCATTCGTTGTCACGGTAAGGTACTCAGATAAAGAGCTAACCACAAGTATTCCATTGCATTAACGGGTGCACTCCGTGAATTCCATACCATCTGAATTATTTTCGTCATTGGACCAAATAATCTTTTATACCACAAAGCACGTTTATAACAGCAACGAATACAGATATCAAACAAAACACTAGAATTGTTAGAATAGAAAATAAGTGATGTAGCAGTTACCTGTATATATATTATTATTCTAGATTAATTGCAAATCACGTTTTCAGCTATCATTATCAATAACTCTTGTTGGCGGGGAAGGAAGCACTTAAGGATTCTCATTGTGGTCGATATTGTTTTATATTTCAGTCTATTTAATCCATTCCTAATCGATATTTTTACCATATTTTAAGAAAATGAGGCCATGCATTAGATGATCGGTTATTCTTAAAGTAATACAGTACTAAAGCAATAATAGAGTTTTCAGGATAAGAAACACGAGCCGTCAGTGACGGGTTTTGCCACATATTTGGACAAAATTTAAGTATGAAAAAAACCAAAGGACATTGAGAGAGTTACGATTCTTGTGCAGTGTTCTACTACTCATTGAGATATTTCTACCTCAATGCTATTACCTCTTATAGTTTGAGTGTAATGCTCCAGACAAACTTTCAGTATTAAAAACAACAAAGGACATTAAGAGAGTTACGATTCTTGTACTACTTTGAGTGCTAATGTTTGAGTGTAATGCTCCAGACAAACTTTCAGTATTAAAAACAACAAAGGACATTAAGAGAGTTACGATTCTTGTGCGGTGTTCTACTACTCATTGAGATATTTCTATAAAAATAGTTTGAAATGGGCATTAAGAGAGTTATGGTTTTTGTGCAGTGCCGTCCCATTCGTTGGGATCTACCTACCAATGAAGCTTCATGTTGATACCTCTTATAGTCATAGTGGAATGTTCCGGACAAAATTTTGACGGAGGGACGGACAAAGCGGCGATTATATCTCCCTTCGGGGAGCACATAAATCATCTTGTTAACGTTTACACTTTTGTCGATTAATATATCTGTTATTCTCTAGACACAATTTGGAAAAACGAGATTACGATCGACAGATATTTGGCGTATATAAACTGACTTGTGGAAAATTTTAGCGAAAGTTTCAATCTTGAGATTGAAGGTAAATATTTGAAAATCAAAAGATTTAAAAACAATCACGATAGTATTAAAGGTAATCATAATATTAACGCTTCAATTTTCTTGGATTTATTTTATTTGACAGACAATGTTTAATCTCCCTGCACGTTTGATGGTACGGTAACTATGTATACTATATATCGGGATTCGCCCTCTCACAGGACTAATTCATTTCTTACAGTGTTAATTCAACCCAAGATACGTAAAACGTACATTGAGTTAAACTTTAACATTCAATTTACAATTTCTATATCAGTATGGATGAGTAAGATATGAGATGAATAATGAATGTTTCATTCGTCTCCATCTCAGATCAGATTTATGACACTTGACACATTTTTTTTACCTCACCATTCACGAGAGCCTTTGTACAAAAAAAGCAAAATCAAAGATTCGTTTCATCGAACTCAAATAAGTAGAAAAAAATTTAAGTTAGTCTGTATCAGCCACATGTTCTCAGTCCACTTTAAAGCTTTAAACAGTTTTTTTACATCATTATTATATTTTTTTCCTTCACGTTTGTAAGTACATTGTATTTAAATCTGAATGAAGACACGTCATCTAAGTTCCTAAAAACGCGTCATCCTGTACACCATTGTACTTCCTATATCTCTGCTATATCAGTGATCCGACCACTGTGTTGTGATCGTGACTGCTGAAGTCACATGTGTAATTGACATAACAATAGCTGCACCTATACTGTGTTATTGCGAACACTATATTAGATTTTAACAGCGTGTTAGGTACACAAGGACGTATGTACTTACCTTGAAAGTACATGCTGGTGTGACCGATATCTACCTGAAGCTGATAATGAGCGATTCGACACATTAGTATCAGCTAATATTGCTTTGATGACAATACAAAGCAATTCTAATCAAAAGTGATTTAATGAAAAATACTAAATCCCCCCCTCAAAAAAAATACAATTTAACTAAAAAGCATATGCCCGCGACTATCAAAATTTTCACTTGTATAGTTAAATCATTGTCTGACACGCAGAACAAAGACGCCTTGTTATGATAGGGATAACGATTGATAGATAAAACAATCTTTATATTCACCTTGTTATATATGTAGATTGTTTAAACAATCTCAGATTGTAATTTTGTTAGAAGAAAACACTGAGATTCGCAGCTAATGCTAATTATATAATCAAAACAGTACAACAGATGTGCGATACATTTCATAAAGAAACGTCTCATCATTTCCTATCTACAGATCAGCCCTTCCCCTACCACGACCACTACATCTACCACAATCAGCCCTTCCCCTACCACGATCACTACATCTACCACAATCAGCCCTTCCCCTACCACGACCACTACATCTACCACAATCAGCCCTTCCCCTACCACGACCACTCCATCTACCACGACCAGACCTTCCCCTACCACGATCACTACATCTACTACAATCAGCCCTTCCCCTACCACGACCACTACATCTACCACGATCAGCCCTTCCCCTACCACGACCACTACATCTACCACAATGAGCCCTTCCTCTACCACGACCACTACATCTACCACAACCAGCACTTCCCCTGCCACGACCACTACATCTACCACGACCAGACCTTCTACTACCAAGAAAGATACCTTTATTACCGCCACCACCACTGGTAAAACTACCACAACTCCGACGACAAACGGCATACTCAGTGGTAGATGTGTTTCAATTTTCAAAAGCGTCAAAGATGGTGCGAGCAGAACTGCAAACATATTCCACCATTTTGTCCAGTACTCGTCTGTAAAGGTTTATAATGACAACGGCATAAGGAACGATGAATTGCATTCCTCAGACTTAAAGGTAAACCATACAATCTATATTATCTACGTACTCATATCTCAATTAAGACTTTCATTTTATTCAAATTATGACGCTGACACAATGCTGTTTTCCACTGTATTTTGCTCCAGCTACTTTTCTATCGTAAAGATATGACGTCACATATTATATATTTGTAACCTTGCTAATTATATCATATCTAAAAAGTGAATGCAAGTACAGTGAACATGTTTCTTGTTGTTAATTAACTTCCAGATATCAACAACTGCACTGAGAGGTATGACGAGGCAGATAACATAATGGTCATCAACGTGTCGACTAAAACAATGGGAAACAAGTTCTCTCTTGCATGAAAAAATGTTTCTGTAGGTTCTTAATAAAATGAAGAAACTTGTGAAAGTTTATCTGTGGCAAACTGCTGAACTGTGAAAACATTCTTTACGGTAAAAGAACAATCCTGCTTTGAACAAATACTTTAATAAACAGAATTGATACACACTTAAGATATTACAGTATCAAGGCTTAAGTTGAATCATAGTATCATATCATTCAATGATCGGCATTAAAGTTTGATGACGAAAACAATGAAATCCGAATTCCAGATGTTACATGATACACAAATATTGATTGATTAAATTTCTATTGATGTAACGGGTATCTGACAATGGCGTGTGAAGTTTGTGCTTTGTGAAAGAGAACTCTTTTCTTCTGTTCACTGTACTGTGACTATGACAATGTCAGTAAACGTGGCACGCTGTGCCTCTTGTTTTATGCAATGAATTTAGGAAGTCTCAATAAAATACCCGTGTTTATATATCATTATAATGTTATGAAATGCATCCCCCTTAAATTGTTTTATGACCGTGTACATACAAAGTCTACATTTCATGTTACAATACTACCCAATAGACATGCAAGGACGACAATCTCCCGAAGGAAACAGTGTTGGAAATGTAGATTTAGGATAGCAGGAGAACGAACATTTCCATCAAATCATGTTTATTTTTACGTGTGTTTCACAAAGCTTATGGCCAATGAAGTAATAACGACAATACGGACAAGTGAATTGTCAGATTTTCGAGGCAATCTGCCCCTTTATTAAAAACACATGATAAGTTCATATTACATCAACTGAACTATTAAAAATTAATATATAAGTTAGTTAAGATTATTCAAAATTGTGTCGGATCTTTAATCATAATTTAACTGCTAGAATGAGACTGGATTAAATGAGCTATTGATATCTATTGACAAGTGGCTATCTATGTACTGACCAGTGGCCAGAGGCATACCGTTGTTCCTTTACCTATATAGCTGGTCGGTGCTATTAATTAATTCCCTGATTACATAAGTTATTATATATGCTCTGTCTAGGCAGTTTCCAAGAAGGTCAGTATATTACAATCTTGTAGAAAACCATGTTTATCTATTGTGTAAAATTACGTAACCAGCGGTCCCACAACAATTTGGTATAAATAGGCCTGTCTTGGTCTGCCAAATGAGAGGATCGGAGGCTACACAGGAAAGTGGGTTATGTCCATTGACGGACTATGATATCGGATCTTCCACCATACGAGCCACGACAACAAACCTGCCGGTCTATGATGAAGGATCTACCACCACGAGCCACGACAACAAACCTGCCTGTCTATGATGAAGGATCTACCACCACGAGCCACGACAACAAACCTGCCGGTCTATGATGAAGGATCTACCGCCACGAGCCACGACAACAAACCTGCCGGTCTATGATGAAGGATCTACCGCCACGAGCCACGACAACAAACCTGCCGGTCTATGATGAAGGATCTACCACCACGAGCCACGACAACAAACCTGCCGGTCTGTGATGAAGGATCTACCACCACGAGCCACGACAACAAACCTGCCGGTCTATGATGAAGGATCTACCACCACGAGCCACGACAACAAACCTGCCGGTCTATGATGAAGGATCTACCACCACGAGCCACGACAACAAACCTGCCGGTCTGTGATGAAGGATCTACCACCACGAGCCACGACAACAAACCTGCCGGTCTGTGATGAAGGATCTACCACCACGAGCCACGACAACAAACCTGCCAGTCTGTGATGAAGGATCTACCACCACGAGCCACGACAACAAACCTGCCGGTCTATGATGAAGGATCTACCACCACGAGCCACGACAACAAACCTGCCGGTCTGTAAAGAAGGATCCTGCCGGTCTGTGAAGAAGGATCTACCACCACGAGTCACGACAACTACACGCCACATTAATCAATCAATATAAAAGAAGATCAACAACTCATCGTTGGATCCAAAAGATGAAACCAGCAAACCACAGCCGTAACACTTATAAAGAAGAAACCAGCACAGTAAACCCAGGACCACAGCCGTAACACTTATAAAGAAGAAACCAGCACAGTAAACCCAGGACCACAACCATACCACCTATAAAGAAGAAACCAGCACAGTAAACCCAGGACCACAACCATACCACCTATAAAGAAGAAACCAGCACAGTAAACCCAGGACCACAACCATACCACCTATAAAGAAGAAACCAGCACAGTAAACCCAGGACCACAACCATACCACCTATAAAGAAGAAACCAGCACAGTAAACCCAGGACCACAACCATACCACCTATAAAGAAGAAACCAGCACAGTAAACCCAGGACCACAACCATACCACCTATAAAGAAGAAACCAGCACAGTAAACCCAGGACCACAACCATACCACCTATAAAGAAGAAACCAGCACAGTAAACCCAGGACCACAACCATACCACCTATAAAGAAGAAACCAGCACAGTAAACCCAGGACCACAACCATACAACCTATAAAGAAGAAACCAGCACAGTAAACCCAGGACCACAACCATACAACCTATAAAGAAGAAACCAGCACAGTAAACCCAGGACCACAACCATACCACCTATAAAGAAGAAACCAGCACAGTAAACCCAGGACCACAACCATACCACCTATAAAGAAGAAACCAGCACAGTAAACCCAGGACCACAACCATACCACCTATAAAGAGGAAGAAAATAACCGCTCTATAACAGTGTAGGTGTTAGTGTATTGGGAAATGAGACAGACCTTACCAATGAACTATTTAATCAGTAACATTATACATCATTGTGAACTGTTCATACCTTGAAAGTTCCCGGACATACTTTAGTTTTTTTTCGCATTTATACATTTTTTATCTTTAACGTATGTTTTGCCCACGTGATATAACACGGGGATCAACATTATTATATACCTCTACCATGATATGTCAGACTACGTGATGTGGTATTACACGCACGTAATATATCTCCGTTCCTCATACGACATATTGATCACCATAACAAAAGGGTTGAAAATACCAGAAACAATTTAATGGCGGAAAGAACAAGTCTTCCATTTCCACATCCGGACATCGCATCAACAAACACAAGAAGAAAATTTCTGGGAGTTTTCATTAATTCACAGCTTAGTCTCCTCAGCCTTTCATTGTGCGAGACGTCATTGCTTGTGGAAAAAGATGGTTTTTACATCGTAAACAAGTCATTATGAACCAGAACATGATGAACATTTCCAGAACATAACAAATTGCTGCAAATCAACGATGTTTTAACTTGATATTGAACAATGTATTTTACTTCTGTCGTTACAATATTTCGAAATATTGATATTAAGTTTTAGAATTTTGTGATGTTTTCTCATTAACTTTCAATTATTTGACTCAGTCTTTTTGCGCGAGATATCACATCTTGTAAAACGAGATGGTAGTACGTCAACCATTTTTTCATAACTACTGACGCATCGCGTGATAAACATTACTTTTATTTCAAGCGGTCTCAAGACTTTCGATTATGTATCTACGCCTGTGAAACCATCAACTTATGAAATAACTGAACGGTAACTTCCATTAATTAACTGTACTATCAATTTATTATTGCCTTTCGTTTCCGAGTTTTTCAATGTACAAAAAACTTGAATTCTCTCTCGGTCTGCTAAATGAGAAGAGCGGAGGCCAGACAAGAGAGAGGCTAGTCTCCACTCTCGGGACACCCTCTCGCTCGGACTTTTTGTTTGAGCTAGAACATTTCTATTTCGGAACTGTAATATGGTTTCCATTAAACAACACTCCAGTAAGCCCCCTCTTCCTATCTGTTTTTGATGATATGATATGTGTAGAAAGGCTGCAGCCTCGAATAGTTGAGAACATATAAGTGTACCTGATGTTCACCTACATCAAATATTAAAATTTATTATAGATATTGTTTTTTTTATATCTCGTTCCATCAGTTTTTATTTTCCTCGGTCGGATTTTATTTTCCACAAATCAAGTGCGTAAATACCATCATTAACAAATCCTTGAAGGACGAAACAGCAGTTTGATGCAGTTCACCTCATTGTTTACCTCTGCTGTTTCTGATTCTACATTTGTATTGAAATGTGATATTGCCCTAAGTGTCCTGTTTTACACAATAGAGAGACATGTAATTACTCCATATAAATAACAGACATTCAATTACTACTAATGGTTTTAGAGATATCTCTTATCTGTTAAAAATCACGTGACATGCATTGCTCTCCAATTACTTTTATGTATGAACTTTACAAAATATTATCATTCTATACATGATATAACATTTGATGTTAATCGTCATGTAAAAGTCGGGACGAATCAAAGAAAGTGCTTTATTCTAACAGGTGAGTGCCAATATTTATTTCATACAATCGGATTAAGACGTACAGCTTAAATTTATTGTCACCCAAATGAATAAGTATGCTATGCATTAAAAAGCAAATATTTTTTTCACAAACAAAACAAGAGCATCGCTTTGTTCTAAATCAATTATTGAAATTTGAAAAGCGGTGCTGATGATAGTTCTTGATAACTGCATGAGAATTCGAGATACCACCATGTATTTCGGTATTTTACATTCTGGGATGGGATATATTATTCAAAAAGATGTTGATTCCGCTAATGGAAAAGTTTCATCACTTGTTAGGATGAATCAAGATTTACATGGCGGGTGTCGTTCATGAAGCAGAAGATGCTTACACTTTCCAAACGCCTGCTCAATTTCTCCCTGTATTTTTTCATAACTTTCAATGTTAATCTGTTTATATTTTAAGTGAAAAAATAATATATATATAAATATATTTATAATTTCTTATGTTCAGGTATCGTCACAAAATATGACCATCCTCTTTTATTTGTGTCATTTATCAAGATTGATTTGATTAAGAGTTAACAGCGCGACTTCATCACCTCTTTTTATTCATTGCATCTGTTAGGAACGAGGAAAGAAATCGATCTGAGATAACAGGTGAACAAACATTGTTTCCTATGTTCCTGGATAGTCGGTAAATATGACCACCCACTACGTCATAAACATTGTATGGTATAATATAAACATTGTATGGTATAACATAAACATTGTATGGTATAACATAAACATTGTATAGTATAATATAAACATTGTATAGTATAATATAAACATTGTATGGTATAATATAGACATTGTATGGTATAATGTAGACATTGTATGCATATAACAACCTCTGCGAAACAAGCTTCAAGCTCACATCAATTACTCTAGTTATTCCTGGGAAACCCCACGTGCTCGGGTAGGTGACGCCAGTTCGTGGAATCGAACCCTGGTGAAAAGCATGTGTGTCAATACGTTCGCCATACGGCAACCATTTAGAGGGGTTGACCACACGTAAGAACCATTCTCATTGGATGTCACATGCTGTATTGGTAACGCCCCAGTATCCGCTAATGTAGGTAATTGTATGACCTGGGGGCTATCAGTCCAATCAAGACATCATCGAGAGATAAGATATTGTCAATACAGCGGCCAACCTCGGGTGACCTCATGTTATAGATTTCATTTTATCTTGGTGAGAAACTTTCTCAGATAGAGAAATATCTCATTGTCACAGGTTAAACTCTCTCTTGGAACGTTTTACAGTAAATTTTGTCAGTTAGTGACTTTAATGAGTAACCTTTTCTATGTGAATATAAAAATGAATATATAATGATACATATACATATTTTTAATGATTTCTTTAAGCGGACTATATTTTGCCTTGTATTGCGAAGTTATAGTGAGAAAACAAGAACAATAGATTCCATATCCGTTATTAATTCTTTGTGGCTTTGGAATTCTGGGTCCTGGAGTCACTAATTTAAAATGGTTTAAATCATAGACCCATTTTCGAGCCAATTAATTCAAAGTTACAGAGAATGGTTGCGAAAGAAGATTCTGGTAACTTGGACAAGGACACTGAAATTGACCTGTTTCATGATAATTGGTAAAAGTATCTTCTACATTATATGGTTACAATTGGATTGTATACTGAGAGGAAAAAGAAACTCAATTAGCAGAAATTTAATATTGTAAATTAAATCCTTGACGTAAACCCTTGAAACTTGACAAATGTGTGCATTTGAGTTAGGTCCCTATGGTACCGTATTAAAATCACTGATGCATAACTAAACTGCGCATGCCGCTTGTACAAAAGAATAAGAGACAAGTAATAAGTAATGAAGTATAGATTTGCGGAGCAGAGCATGTCGCGCACTCCTGAATAAGAGGCATTATTCTGGTCTTGACCTTATTCGTAGCAAATCTATGGAAATGAAACAATTTCTAAATTACAGAGTTTATGGATTGGCCTAACAAACACTGATGACCTAGTTTTCACTTTTATAGATCTCACAAGACTATCTTTTCCAGGTTAAGTTTCAACAACACGTCCAAGTGGCCAGTTCATCATTGGAGTAGACTCATCAAGAACTAACACAATATCACCTTTCTTGAAGTTGTCTTTCAAAGTTGTCCATTTTCTGCGAAATTGAAAACCTTTCTAAATGACCTTATCTGTCTCTCCCAAACTCCATCCATGTGTTACGCACTTGGGGGATTGAACTTCCATTTCATATTACGAAGGATTAGATGTTCCTTGGTTTTCGAGTGTTCATAACAACGCAATATTGCCTGACGTAATTCCTTCTTTCCTCCAACAAAATGTGAACCATTGTCCGATCTTATCAATTCTGGGTCTCCACGTCGCGACATGAAACGAATCAATGCGCTTACGAAAGAATCTGCTTCTAGGGAGTGTAGTCTTTCAATATGAATGACCCGAATTGAAAGGTATGTAAATAAACAGCCATAGCGTTTTTCTTGACTTCGTCCTCTCTTAACATAAAATGGTCCAAAACAGCCGTAAACGGTGCTTTCTCTGCAACTACTCTATCCGACGGAAGTGAAGACATTTTCTGCGAACCTAATAGAGACCTCAGTCTTTTGCACATTACACAATTGCGCAGTATATCGTTGATCAATGTACGACAATTCGCAATCCAGTATTTCTGTCTGATAACTGAAAGTACGTATTCCCTTCCAGAATGCCTAGTTTCCATTTCATGAATGTTGCGAACGATCAGTTTAGAAATATGATGATCCTTAGGAAGTATAAGCGGATGTTTCGCTTCCTCAGAAATTAGTGCATTAAGCAATCTTCCTCCAAAACGGAGAAAACCTTCGTCATCAATAACTGGTTCCAAATTGTAAAGCACGTTTTTCTTGCTAACTTTTCCATGATGCGCTTTCAGAGCCTCCATTTCATTTCCAAAATCTGTCCTTTGAACGTACGTAATAATTGCTTTCTCTGATCTGATCATGTTATCCGAATCAAGCGTTTTCGCTACAGTACGCTTCCAAACCCAGTCCTTGTACTTCAGTAGCCAGGCGATTGCCCCTTTTAACCGATACCAAGATGAGTGGTAAGCCAATAGCTTGTTGACCAATTCATTTCCAGATTCGCATAATTGTACAGTTGCTTTAACTTCCTTGTCATCAGTCAAAGAATCCGGATAATCTGTAGGCGATTTCGGCCAGTCGTCCGCACTATCACGTAAAAATTCCGGTCCCTGTAACCAACGTTGTCGAGAAACCATCTCCAATACGTGTAATCCCCTAGAAGCATCATCCGCAGTATTCAATATTGTATCGATATATCTCCAGCAATCCGGAGTAGATCCATCATGTATAATAGCGATACGGTTCGTAACAAAAGTATGGAATTTCTTGTCCTTGTTCTTGATATACTGCAATACTATCATGTTGTCTGTCCAAAATACATTTCTGGAGATGTCAAGATTCAACTCCTCGTTCAGAATGCTACTATGTTTCAATGCTAACACTGCGGCTGATAGTTCTAGTCTAGGAATATTCATTTGTTTT